ATTGAATCTGAGCAATCCCAAACCCTCTTGTTTCGACAAATCATTTTTCAAAATCTTTGTTGAACAGATCATCAAAAACAGGAAGTTCGGACCTCTCTGCATAAACTAACAGTTTATGGGGCACTGTGTAGCACATTGTGCACTTAAACGCTGTGCCAGAACATTTTTCTTCTTTCCCTATCCAAACATTCTCTAGCTCTTGGTGTGATTAATTCATGCTATTAATTACAACATAGAAGAGGGGGGGAAAAAAACAATTGTTTGGAGTTGTATTTCATTGCTTAATCTTTTCCCACAAAAATACAACTTGAGTTAGCACACAATTCCAATCCTTAAAAATAAAATAATCCTCGTATTTCATACAGCACCTTTCACATTAGCAGGGCGTGTCAAAGTACTTTTGGACTGTTAGCAACAACCACAACAAATGATATTTATATAGTACCTAGCACATCAGAAAGATGTCTGAAGGTGCTTGACAGTTAAGGGTTTACACCCAAGTTGGGGATTAGAATCAAGAGGGGCGAAGAGTAGGAAGGCACGATCAAAAAGGAAGGTCTTGAAATGGGCCTTGGGCAAAGCGATGGGATTCCAGGAAGGAGTTCCAAAGGGTGGGAGCAGAAAAGCTTAAGGCCCGACAGCCAATGGTGGGATGGGTAGGGCGGGGGACATTGAGCAAGCCGGTGCCCATCAAGTGGAGGGAGCAGACAGGTTGGTATGCTGTTAATAGGTCGGAGTGGTAAGGGAGGAGAAAAGTAAAAATATTACTTTCTTACCGTAAAATTAGTCAGGAGTGAAGCTAAGCGTTCAATATTTAATAATAATAATCACTACGATGTGATATAGCACCTTATCACATCGTAGTGATGTCTCAAAGCGCTTCACAGGAATATACTGTAAAGTGGAGTAAGTGTATTTTGTGGGCAAAACGCGGAAGCCAGTTATTTGGATCTAAAATAACACAGCTAGTTCCTTATACATAGAAAGATGAAAATCAATTCCCCATTTACACTGTTCCTCACAGCAGGCCTGCTTCACAAACTAATAATACAACGTTCTCCTGCTGGGGTACACTTCAAGTTTGTAGAAATCAGTGGCAGATCTAAGGGGACCTGGATAAATATTTGAAGAAGATATTGTATCTAAAAAGGGGAAAAGAGTAGGGACTTGAGATCAGTATACAATCTCCAAAGAATGCCCTAGCACAGCAAGGTCAAATAGTCTCCCTTGGCTTTGTAAGTGGTTTGATTCCATGATCATCTATTGCAATTTAAGTAAGTTTAAATAAGTTTATGCTTTATATTGGAGGGTCACATGCTTGCAATCCAGTGCAGGATGAAGACTGGAGGACACTTGACAACATAACCGGATATACATTTTTAGCAGATCTGACCCCAGTTTGCAATTATAAAAAAAGTGAGAGAATTCCATAAGGCATCAAACTCACCTTAACAGGAACACAAGAGTGGGTCTGTTCTGTAAAATTCTATAGTACATTGGCATTTTCATTACGAGGCAACTATACAAATACAATATGACCTAAATAAAGTTTGTAAATCTCAACATTTGAAAATGCATGCTTCCTGTATCTTTAACATTATAAAAATACAAATGCAAAGTTAACAGAGTTCATTAAATGCACACACTGAAAGTTTTGGTACAAAAGCTTTCATGGCTTAAAGTGACATTGTTAAAGTGGCATATTTTACCTCCTAAAGAAAGCCCATGATATATCAAATGCATCAATTGAAAATAATCAACGGTACAAGAATGGATAGCTACAGAGCAGATCTATCACCAAAAAGTAGATTAAGTGAGCATCTTGTTGACATTTCATTTAAAAAATGTGAAGCAGATGGCAGTGGATTAGATGCTTGCTTTGCTTTTCACCTCTAGGATCTGGGCTGAACCCAGCTCAGACAGATTCAACAATCTCTTCAGTGTTTTGGCTATAGGAATCTGACGTGAAAGGACTTTGAACAAACTAGTTTCTAGTGGGCAGTATCTTGCAATGCAATTCAGAATTCTCAAATCAGAATATGACCTAGGATTGCTAAGGTGGGAAATGGGAATGTCACATTGTTGGGAGCAGGGCTGAGCACTTTTTAAAACTTTAATCTGAATCCAGTAGTCCACCACATGATTTTTGAGTGCTTGAAAAGGACACTGGGTACACAGGGAGAAAGTGACCAGTCTTCCAGAAATAACACCCTCAATATGAAGAGCACAATATTCATTAAAGAAATTGAGCAAAAAAAAGTCACAAATACATGGATGAAAAAGTGCTGGTAACAATGGTCGGGAATGAGCTTGGTATTAGTGTGCCAAACAATACGAGGAGGGGAATTAATTACATTTGCTACCAATAACTCCTTCCTTTATTCCCAGGTAAGCAACCCCTCCTCCCTATTGATTGCACCCTGCCCCCCATCAACCAGAGAAACAACACTGAATTGCAGCAATGAATGTCAGGAAACTTGAACCAAGACAGCACAATTGGTGCGAATCGAAAAGGTCTTTGATTACAGTTAGAGCAAACCAATTGGCCATTTTCCAACACTGAAACGTTGTAGTTTTAATCTATAGTAACCTTCGTAAAATTAATATGTGCAAACTTTAATAATGCATATCAAATAGAAACTATATCACTGCAGGAAAATGCTTGGAATTATCACCAATATTACAAATGTAAAGGAACTTAATGGAGATTAGTTTCATCTAGTTTCTGCAATCATCCATGTGAACAAAGAAACCAGCAGAGAAACTCCTCCAAGCCAATTCCCTTAAGTTACCAGCACTTAATCCTTAAAATAAGCAGACAAAATACATGCAACAAAAATGCTAATTGTTTTAAATAGTTACTTTGCTTTAGAATGGCTACTCATGGCAAAATTCACCTTTCTCAGCCTGTTGCTGTCCAATTAATTTCCCAATTATTATTAAACCACAAATGGCATATTCCTCAGGAGCGGAAAAGTTAGTTCATAAACATTTCATGCATAGCTGAATCATATTTTGACATCAATTATGCAAGTTGCATTTTTAATGCAATTTTATATCCTGTAGATACGGGGCAGAAAATTGTTGTTTTAAACCAGAAAAAGGCATAAAAGAGCATGAATTATTCACCACATTAAACAGTGCCAGATTTGAGCACTAATACATTATGCAAAATGTTTTTGCAGGCTCCCAAAACAGAATTAGACAATAGGAGCCAAGTTCTATTAAATGCAACAGAATTGCATATACTGCAGAAAAAAAATCAACAAGCTTCCAGGTTAAAAAAAAACCCAGGTGTCAAAAAGCACCAATAAAGTACTGAATAAAGATGCACAAAAGATTACATCAGATTCATTTTCTAACCACTAATGCTACCAAAACATACAACACTCCCACCGCCCATGAACTGAAGTTATTACACATGGATACAGATTATCTGGTTAAGGATCAGAGCCGGGGGGGAGAGGGGGCACTGAAGTTAACAATATCCAGGTCTGCACGTAAGACTGTAAAAAGGAATATTCGCACTCAAACCAAAAAAACATGGTGCACATTGTACTGCAATACAGGATTCTCTAAGATGGGTTGTGTAGACATTTGTAGACAATGGAGGCAAGGTTGCTAAATATTTCCATACCCAACAAGAAAAAAAGGCTCATACTGTTTACATTTACATTAAGATAATATGAATTATCCGATTTCATATTCCTTTTTGGCAACATTGAAATTATACACTAATAATGTACCCAGCAACTGAATCATAAAGAATTAACTGGATCTTAAGGAATTAATGCAATACCATATCAGCTGTCGCACTGACTGGGTTGTTAGCCACCGCACCATCTGCACAAAGTTTATATATTAAGTTCTTTTAAAATGTAAAAACTATTCAGCATCTGTTCACAAAAACAGGAGAGCTGTGTGCAGACAGTCTCCGTGAACATTTAAAGCTGGAATTACCTTCATTTTGTGGTTTTCGTGGGTGTGAGTGGGGTTGGGAAGAGAAAAAAAGGGAAGGGGCATAGCTGAGGTAGTTTTAAGATCTAAACATGATCAGAAAATACAAATCTTAACTTTATCAAAACGTTTTTGTTAACATTAATAATTCATTCCTATTTTAAAAACCTTACCTTGGGTGCACGTGCACGCACACACACAAAATTTTATCAATAATGTAAACACCACTGTAGACTGTCAATCCAGGTTGATCCAACGGTGGTAAATCAAGTGTTGCCTGGCAGACGTCCTCTTGGAAATGCTGGAGCACAAGGACTTTTCCCCATCCTTTACAAAGCGTTTACTTAAGATGCCACACGGAACTCAGACCGGCTGTCTTCCATTAATTAGCAGTGCAGTGCAAGCTTATCAGCTAGTACTAGGCAAATCTATTTTTTTTATGTATAAAGTGGACCTTCTGGTCAAAACATGGAGTCGAAATCTCATTATGATGAGTTGAGAGGCAATAAGGAATAAATGAGTTTGGGCACCTGGGAAACGCATGCACATCCACGGGGCTTGAACCGTTTAAAAGCCACACGTATCCGTCAAAAGTGGCACGGCAACATAGTAAAGAGAGCACATTAGAATTGCTAGCCCTGAAGAATTCTCAGGTGTATAGTAACTTTGCTTCCTTTCCAAATTAAGCATTCACAACTGTACGCTTTTAACGCTCCTGGATTTGGGGGCACAGCCTCAACAATCTGGGCAATGCTCACGGAAAGCAGGATTGGTTTTGGGTCAGGCACGCAACGCCTCAATTATCTGCTTTGATCATGGGCAGTAACATTTTTCACATTCTTCCAAAATAAGGAGGCAATACACTTCATATTTGTCAGGTCAAAACACAAATCAAAACATAACTTGCTCAGCAATTGTGGATCCTCCAAAGAAAACGGCACCAGGACGATCAGACGGCGGATCAATTCTCAAACAATTCAGATCAGGGATTCACTTTTGTTCCTCGAAAGACATGGTTAAAGCAACTGTGAACGCTTCCTCCTCAAATAATGGGGGCTTCAGCAACAAAAGCCCCTTGCAGTGCACACAAAAGGGCGTCATTTTTTTGGCTTCATCAAACTTACTCCAAAGCAGATTTTTTTTCCTCAAAAGAAAACACATTTTATTGATTTTGGATGACAACACAATCAGCTCACAGTGTGTACGTGTGTTTGCGATAGCCAGTATTCAGCAGGTTGAGCCAGAAAATGCCTTTTCTCCTTTTTTTCCTCCCAGTAATCAGCTATAAACAGCACACAGCAAGGAGATCATTTTTTCCCCTCAAAACACAGGACCTGGTTTCACAATAGCAGATACAGGAACTTTTTTTTATATATAAAACTGCCATTCCAGTGAATTATGCAGCCTTTTTTTTAAAAAAACAAACATCAACAAAAATCTTTCTTTCCCCTGCAAACGGCCATCTTATTTCACACAAAAAATTGTCTTCGTTCTAAATTCCAGCCGAATATTTCTTCCTTAGTTTTGCCATTCAAATATTCTGTCCCTTGGGGTTATTTCAGGAAAGAAACATCAATTAGATACAAAAAAAATACATGCAACAGCAGTATTGTCTATAGAACTATTAACAAGAATACAATAATTTTACACATTTCCTCAAAAAAAATTCAGCACTAGAGAAATTCAGTTGGCATGCTACTGAGAAATATTTGCTCTGTCCTAAGGCACCAATCCCTAGCTATTTATTTTTTATAGATAGAAAGCTGTCAAGACACTGTGCAAAAGCTGATTTTTTCCTCACGGTAAAAATAAAGCACTATTTGAAATAATCCTTAAAGAAGATTATCAACATGCAAATCAGAATACAAAGATTCCTTGTAGCTTTACTTAATCCTCTTGACACTTTTGCAAGAACTAATATCAACATTTGTCAGCAGTTTCTGGTCTCTTTGGAATCAAGAGTACAACTAAACATACTAAATTGCAAGGACGACACAAGCAGTACTTATTTTCTGCACCACGGAGTGTCAGGATATTGTTTCTCTCATTTAGAGAGTGAGGCTTGTGGTTGCCTCAGGAAACAGGTTAACACAGTAAAACAAAAATGATGAGTCAGCCGCCTTGCAGCAGTTTTGAGAGGCAATTGTTTAGGCCTGAGACTAGTCTTATCTGCTTGCCACCTCAGCTGAGGAATGACAGGAGAAAATCTAGCCAAATAAGGCTGGGTAATACACAGACAAATAACATAAAAGACACAGTGAAGATCTACATAATCAGCAAAACAAACTTGTTCTTTAGTAGATGCATGTGATTCACAAAAATCAACTCACGAGTCTGTGCTTAAAGAGGGAAGAAACAATCTACCCATCACCATTCATTCATAAATAGCCCAATTTGACAGATTAGAAAAAAAATCAGCTTTTGCACACTTCGAATTTAGAACAGCCTGCTGACATCTTAATATCGGCTACAGATTGATACCCCATATATTGTACACCCTAGTTTCCTTAGGGTCAAGGGACTATGACAGATTGGGAATAAACCAACACAAGAGTGTCATTTTACATGTTTCACTTCACCACTATTAAAATTATTCAAAATACTCGAGTGCATACTGACTTGCTCCAATAAATTTACATTACTTAATCGCCAAAATTAGGAGGTTTTATAATAATACTTGCATTTGTAATGTCTTCGAGAATATACTGTAAAGTGAATTGACTGTATATTTTATGGGCCAAACACGGCAGCCAATTGCGCTTAGATATTAGTGTGTCAATTAGAGGCCCATAGATCTTAGCAATAGCTAGTGACACCTATTATGGGATTGCATTCACTTCCTACTATAATCAAAACAAAAGCTCCATACATGGACTGAAGAACTCATTTATCGCGCTTGAATCGAACTTCAGTAAAGAAAATAAACGTTTGCACCATTTTTGGCCCAAATTGAATGAAGTAAAATTTAAACTTCCCATTTACTAGCTTGAGCTAAATTAACCGCAGTGGAGTGCAACTAAGCCAAACATCCCAGTACTTTACAATGGAAACTTGTTCATTGTGCTAAACTCAAATGTACAAGAAACACCTTGTGCACTTTTTGCAGTCTGCAGATATATATATATATAAATAAATGAAAGAGCACATCTTTAGTTTCCAGAATATGAGCAGATCAGTTGCAGTCTGAAAGTGTTGTTCAGTGGCTTTAATAGTAAGCTCTAAACCACTCGCGCACAAACTGGAGTAGATTATGATACTCATCTAGCTGTCATCTCATCGACATCCTAGAAATAATTCTTGCAGGTTGGAGTGGGGCGCAGGGAATACAGTCACCATCTAAGCAGCAGTCAGTGTGCACTTGTATTTTAAAAATATTTCCTCATCGAAAGGGAGAAGTTAAAATACATTTCTTTGTACCATACTTTTCCTTTAATATTAAAAAATGCCCATTTACTTGTTCAAGCAGCATCTCCTTTGAGCACCAGATCACTGCTGTGCAAATCAACTCAACTGCTCACCGAATAGTGAAGTACTGTACATTAACGGCTGTTTGTGGCACCATATTAAGGGAACTATTGGTTTGGGGTTGCCCTTAAGAGAAACTGCAAAAATGATCCCAGAAATTGAAGGGAAACAAATGGTGGAATTAGACAAGGCAAGAAAAAAACACACCTTAATGCTAGTTTCACTCTACACATTAGTTTGCACCTCCACCAATCCATACGCTCGAGTTAAAAGAGATGCTGGGTTTTGAGCTCCCAGCCTCTGAGATTCTGTTAGCACAGTACATCTTCCTATCACAGGGCTAGCTCCAGTGTTCCTCTCTTCAAGCAGTTTTAGACAATTTAAGTACTGCCAAACTAAAATGAAAGTCATATGACTTTATTTAGGCTTTACATTTCAACTAGAGAAAAGTTCAGAACACAAGAAATGTGCCCATGGTTGAAACCGTTTCCCCGAAAAGCTTTGGGAAACAATTAACTATATTTAGAAAAAACAGCTGGGCCAAAACAACTTATATTATTGTGAGGCAATAGGATTTTTCCAAGCCATTTCTTCTCCCTGACTGAAGAGTTAGCCCTCTAAAGAACAAGTACACAGGCATCTTTCAGCCCCTTTTGACCCAGGAATCTTAAAATCTTAAGACTTCTGATTAGTCTAAATATTGAATTTACTGCCCAGATTACTTGCTTAATAAAGCAGATTAAATGAACCAGATTATGGATATATTTAACATCACATTTATACAATAGATGTATCCATTCACTCTATTTTACAATCTGGGATTTAAACCAGTTTCAGACTAGCGTCCAAATCATTCAAGAGTACTTCTGGATTGTCTGGGCAGTAAAGACAAGAAGTTCTACTTAACATAAGCTCCATTTCTACTTTAGAGTTAGTTTAAGAAGGATTTCTGGTGCCTAACAAAAGGTATTAAGTGCAAAATCATAAGATATGCCTACAACTCTTACAGCACATTACATAAAATGGGTTGTAAGGTGTCTGTATTCCAGTAGCTATTACCTTATTTACAAGAAGACTATAAAACAAATTGCTGATTCTGAAATAATCATTCTGTCCTTCAGTAATACTAATTTTAAGGAGTTGTATGACCCTAGAGCTGGATCTGTGTTTCTGATAAGGAAATTGCTTAAAGAAAATGTCCTGGCTTTATCCCCTATTGGTATGCGCTACCTTAAAACAATGCAAGGATGATAAAGCTTTGTACAAAAATTCTGGTTTATACTCAATGCTGACACACAGCATGTGTATTGTTATACAGTATTGGATACTTGGGGGGGGGGGGGGGGGGGGGGGAGTGAAGCTAACAGGGAACAGAAATTAAGGACTCAATCAACAGCAGAATTTCCAGCCGGAATTCCTTTTAACAAACAGAGAGAGGGTTTAGAGTGACCATGTGTACCCACCAAAACGAGATGGTGAACATAGTTCAATGTAGTTTAAAATAAGGCTGCCACTCTGTCTTTTCAAACACTAACGTTTCTCACTTCTGCATTAATTGGGTGAGACATATCAGATCGTTGCTGTCGCCGACCGCTTTACAATCTATCCAGAGTTGGCACTGCGTTTTCAAGGAGACACTCCCATCAAGACAGCCAGCCAGATCAGTGGACCTTGCTTTCACTGGCGGGTCAGTTGAGTGACAGACAATTCCTGGGACTCAACCCTTTTGACAGCCTTATAAAATTACAAAACACACATTGGAGGGGGGTGGGGTGGGGCACAAAGTAAAATATGACGCTTACAAAAATTATTTAAAAAAACATTCTGAATATTTACACCTCCCTCACTTTCTGTATCCCCAGATCACAATACACATACTGTTATCACTGCTATCAGTACCACTTCAATGTTTAAGCTGTACCACGTACAATTATTATAACCAGACAGTCTTCTTCAGATTTGGCCAGCGCTCGAGCAGAGGTTTCCAGATACTGCTGAGAGAAACCACAAGGGGGGAAAGCATGCAGCACACCCATGTTGTCCTTCTCTTTGCTTCCGCCGACTGGCAGGCTGATAACGCCAGCAGCCTGCTTTTGTTTTAGATAGGATACCAAGTTCCTCAATGGTCGTTGTGGTGATGTGGCCTGCTCAAAGGCCCCTTCCACATTTTCTACGCTGTTTGATGCGGGTACGGCCAAAAGAACGCAGTAGCCATTAGAACCCGATGCCTTGATGCGTCTGGTTACTTCATCTAACTTAGGCTGATCCAGTCGGAGGCGTTGAGTAATTTTTAACTGTGCTACTTTTCCACCAGTCGAGAGGTCCACAAGCAAGTTGGTCGCCACAGTCAAGTCGCCCTCAAGGAAGTGCATGTTTGTTGAGAAAGAACTGTTTTTCAGAACCAGCATTCCATGCCAGGCAATGATGAGTTTGTGATCGTATTGCTGGAAGTTACTAGGTGCTTTGGTATTGGTGGAGTCTGATTTGGATTTGCTTCGAAGAGGGCTCTCGCTTTCCATAGTTCTGTGTTTGCGGTCTTTATCCTTTTCGATAAGACTCAAGAGACTTCGCACCTCGTGTTTGCTGCTAGCACCTTTTTCTGTGCTGTTCCGGCGATCCCTGCCAGGGGAATATCGTTCATTCTTGGCTTCTGAGTCACTATGCCGGCCACCGTCCCGACTGCTGTTACCTGGACTGCGCTCTGGTGAAAGACAGCGACGCTTTCGCTGCCGATCGTTGCTGGGGGAACGGTCTAAAGTCCGTCCTTCAAGCGGAACTCTCCTTTTTCTTCTTTGGTCCCAATTTTGCAAGACATGCTCTCGCCCACGCTCAAGAGACCAGGTATCTCGGATTTCACGTTCAATGGGATCAAACTGTTCATGAGCATTTCGGGTTCTCTCCCGCACAGAAAGGATGTGCCAGTCAGTGGCTGGATAAATCTCCCTTTCTCTAAAAGGCAGAGGAGGTGAATTTCTCTCTCGGGCCCTTAAACATTCAGCACCACGAGGTACAAGGCCATCTCCAACCAATTCAAAGGGAGGCAAAGGTAAGGCCTGCAGAAATTGCTGTGGATAGCGGTGCTCTGTATCGGCAAAGTCAACTCTCAATCTGCGATCGGGACCGCCCAAAGGAAAACCACGCATTTGAGTACAAGCGGCTTGTGCAGCATCCAAACTTTCGTACTGAATGTAAGCCCAGCTGTCACCCTTTCTGTAGTCGATCGACCGAATGGTCCCAAAGCGGTCAAATTCCCTGGCTAGACCAGCTACAGGGACCCAGGCACCCAGTCCTCCAACCCACAAGCGGGTGGTCGGAGTTGCCTTTCCATAACCAATTTTAATCGGATTTCTCCCAATCACTTTGCCAGACATCGCAATCTTGGCTCTGTGGGCCATATCCAAGTTTTCAAACTTCAGGAAACCATAGGAATTGCCTTGCCCACGAGCCGGCCTTTTGATATCTACCTCTAAGATAACTCCAAACCTTTCGAAAGCAAGCAGAAGGTCATTCTGTAACACCGATGGGTCCAAGTTACCAATAAACAACGTCCTATTAGCTCGTTTATCGTCTTCAGGCAACTTTTCCTCCTCCCTGAATGTAGTTCTATCAATTGTATAAGCAGCACGTCCCCGTCCTTCATAAAAGGCATAATCCCTCTCCCTTTCTAGTTCTCGCTGGGCGAGCGGTGGGGGAGGTGGGGGTGGTGGAATTTGACGTCCCAAAGAACTGCGTTGCTGTACCCGATGTTCTCTGTAGCCGAGTCCTCCGGGGGACAGAGACCTCTGCCTGTGACGGTTTCCCTGAACGCTTGCTGCTGAATAGCCATCCAGTTCGGGCGAGTAACTCCTCCCTTTTGGAGGAGGATAATAAACCTCAATTTTCAGAGGCCGATCATACAGCACCAGCCGGCCTTTCGCATGGCGGGCAGCCTTGGCATCCTCTGAGTGTCTGAAATTCACCAGGGCCACCCTCTCATCGCCGTCCCGGGAAATCTTTACGCTCACGTCTCCGAACTTCTTAAACTCGTGGAACAGCCCGTCCTCGATGGCCCCGTCACTGAGCTGGGAGCCCAAGTCGCTGATTTTCAGAGCTTTGTAATCAGTCGCGTGGCGGTCATTCCTACTAGTCCTTGAGGAGACGGAAGAAACACTTAAATTATTGCTAGTCCTGTTGGGCTGATAGACCTCGTAATCGCGACTGTTGGTCCTTTTCGCGCTGATATTGCGGGTTCTCTTGACGTTGTGGGCTTTGTTATTCCTGTTGATGGTGTTGTTGTGACTGTTCGTCCCCATTTTCCTCTGCTGCTGCTGCTGCTGCTGTTGCTGCTGGTGGTGGTGGCCTCCTCTTCGGTCTTCCCCGCGTTTCCCACTCGACTTGGGGGAGGACACGTCCTTCTCCTTCATAGCTCGGGCTGGTTACGGGTTTCTTTTTTTAAAAAAAAACCCACAGCCCCGAAACTGCTGAATGGATCTCAAAGTAAATATCAAACTCTCTCTCTCTCTCTCTGTGTGTCCAGACTGGCGGTGCCGATGCGATCAGATCAGATAGTCAGTCACTCTCTCTCTCTCTCTCTGCCCTCCACCGCCGCTCCTTTTCATTCACACCCTCTTCTTCTCCTTCTTCTTCTTCTTCTTCTTCGGCCGCTTCTGGGAGTGACAAATCGCTTCCCCGCAACACACTTTACCTCATCAAATCAACGGCTCGGCCGAGTAAGTCGACTTCCGAGCGGTTTTCGTTCCAATTTTTCTCCCCCTCTCCCCCTCCTCCTCCTCCTCCTCTCTCTCGCGCTCTCGGCCTCTCGTGACAAAACGCCAGAAGACTCTCTCACTCCGCCGGCGCCATTTTGTGCTGACTAAGCCCCGCCCTTTCCCCCACGGTTCCCATTGGCCGAGGTCCCGGGCACCCGCCGCCCCGATTGGCTCTGCCCGGACGTCACTCAAACCGCATGACGTCAGAACGCTGCCCCAAGAGATAGGCGGGAGGGGGGGAGAGAGGGGGTGCGAGGTGATGGGGGGGGGAGAGGGGCTGTGGGGGGAGAGAGGGTGTGGGGGGAGGTGATGGTGGGGGGAGAGGGGGTGCGGGGGGGGGGGGGAGGTGATGGGGGGAGAGGAGGGGTAACCGTTTGAAAAAAAAACCAAACAGAAATCATCAAATAAGTGAGTTTTAATCAGAAATGAATGGTTTTAAAAAAAGAAGCTTCAGGTACGCGATTGTTGGGGCTGTTTTGTTTGGGTATTCTTCTTCTGCTTTGTACTTTGCTTTTGATGAAGGGAGAGGGGGGGGTGTGTGGGGGGGTGTGGGGGTGTGTGTGTGGGGGGTGTGGGTGTGGGGGGTGTGTGAGGGGGTGTGGGGGGGGGGGGGGGGGGAGAGCAGCGATTGGTTTTACTTTATTTTGAACCAAAGTTCAGGCCTTTTATTGGCTGTTTGTCTGTTTGTTTTGGGAGCGCTGATCTACAGCTTCGTTTTGTTTGCGGAAATTCCGCGCGACGGAATCGTTCGCTCGTTTGCGTCTGTGTGTGTATGTATGTGTGTGGGGGGGTTGTGTCTGGGTGTGTGTGTGGGTGTGTGTGTGAGGGGGGGGGTGTCTGTGTGTGGGTGTGTGTGTGGGGGGGGGAGGGACACAGGGATTCAAACTGCAACGGTTCTCCCCAAGGAGAGAGACCTGAGGCCTACAGGCGATGCCCCGCCCCCATCTTTCTCTCCTATTGGTCCACCCGCTCCACGTCCCGCCCTCCGTCGCCCTCTGATTGGCCAACCGGCGTGTCGATCACACCCACCCACCTCAAGCCACGCCCCCTCTTGCCAAGTGACCATTCCCACCCAAATAGTCATTTTCACCCCTTTGCGCAAAAACTACTGCGGATTTGCTGGAAATCTCAAACACACGAACAAACAAACTAACTAACGGGGGGGGAGAAAAAAAAGGGCACGCAGCGAGTCCTTCGTCAGAACCCCAGGGTCGCGGCCCCGAAGCCTCGACTCGCTTGCCCCTTTCTCCCGACGGGAGACGCTGCCCGACCCGCCGAGCGTTCCCGGCGGCTTCCGTTTGTGTGGAGTGCAATCGGTGCATTCGATACCAGCGCCCCCGTCACGTCTTCGAGACGTATCGAAGCTCTCCGCAGAATACACTGTGGCCGTATATTTTGTAGGCGAAGCGCGGCGGCCGGTGGGGCACTGCAGGGTCCCACGAACACGTCGTGGATTGACTGACCAAATTATTATTAAATGCGCCTTTTTATCTTAAAATCCCACCCTTTTGACCTAAGATTTTAACCATTTGCCTCATCAACGTATTTTCCTATACTTTCTCCTTCCCCTGAAAGAGCTGCCCTGCAGTGTGTTAAGTTTGTCTCAGTTGTTCGAGCTCTCGCCCAAGAGTGGGCACCAAGTTGGGTCTTTGAGCTCATATAGTCTAAGCTGACGCTCCATTTGCAACGTTGGGGGGGTGGCGGGGGAGAGCGTTGCACTCAAGGTGCTGCTATCCTTCAAACCGAGGGCCCATCTACCTCTTTAAGTGGACTTTAATGATCCCACAACACTGATGGAATGAGAAGGGAGTTTCTCCGGGTACCCTGCAGTACAATGCTTCAGATATATCGTCATGATTATTTGTGAGACATTTGGAGCTGCATTCACCTACAAATACAGGACACAGTCATTGCACTCAACAGTAATTACTTGAGAGTTGATTTGGGGTGTGTTAATGTCATACCTTGATTGTGAGATACGAGAGAATAGTTATTTAAAACAACAACATTTTTCTTCCTCCATCTGAATTGATAAAGGCTGTGCTTTTGTAATTTTTCCACTGGATGGTGCTGTGAATCCACACACAGTAAGCTGAGAGACGATGGGGTGGAAATTACAAGGTGTTTATGTGATAATTGTCACTTTGGTGAAAATTACATTGAGACAGTCAATAATTATTGACTGTACGTGGGTGTGACTCCTGTCCTTGATTTGTGCATCATGCTTGGGCTTGAAGCCAGCATTAGAGTTGCCAGCTGCCTTGAAATCTCACCTTCCTGTTGAATTAAACAGGTATCCCAGGAACATTCTGGCACACAGTGAAGTGTTAATGAAGCATTAATGAAACGAAGATTACAGAGTGACCCTGCACATGGAACACAACTAGAAACAGCAAAGATAACAGTCATTGGGTTGGTTTAGTTCAGACACTAGGAACTAATAAAGAACCCCCCCACCCACCAAGTAATTGCCATCAAATGTAGTGAATATGTACCTGTCAGCCAGTTTAACATCTACTGGAACAGTTTGGTACATCTGTTTGATGGCTCATCCAAACGACAGATATGCAGGTAGCATACATATGTGGAACTCTGTCTAGTTGGGACACTCTTATTGAAACATATTGATGGGTTTCTGCATGTATCAGACACCCAGCTGACCACAAATATTCAGAAGGATGGCTCCTTTGTCAATGCAACAACAACAACTTGCATTAGATATAATGAATGCCCTCCACGCCAGGCGGTTTCTCAGAACATCTCAACAACGCGCCTCCACAACTGCACTAGAACAACAGACTGGATTGTAAGCTTAAAATGCTAATTGAAAGCTTAAACCCACAGCCTTCTGATCCAGAGGAATGACTGAGTCAAGCTGACAATATTTCTTTACAAAGAGAGGAATCAACAAAGCCTTTCATTCCTTCAGTCAGTGAGCTCCCAGACTTTGTGTGTCTACCGCAAGCATGAAAAACATTAAATGCACCCTGTGTATATACTAATCTAACACCCCTCTGGCATCTGTGTTTGCGGTTAATTTGATATGGATTATATTTGTCACAACCAACTCAAAGGCAGAGTCTTGCTGTGATGTTCATTCATCCTTTCCACTGAATTTCATTAGGGTTTTCTCATCCCCACTGATCAAAACCTTTGCATTTTTCAGTTCTCTCTGTCTACAGTATGTTTTCTCTTGATCTCTGTCTATCGTTTGACCTGTCTATCTTTGTGTCCGTTTCTGAATATTTCATGGCTGTTTGAGGGACGTGGCTTTGCACAAATTGGCTACAAATTCACAGTCACTACACATTACTGAAAACTTGTCATATCCTTTAAGATGGTTTGATGTGATATGGCACTATATCAAATATAAGCATTATTATTATCTCTAAATTGCACTCTCTTCTGTTTCTCTCACCTTCTCTGCCTCTCACTGGTTCTTTATCTCTTGAGTTTTCTGTGTCTCACTCTCTGTTTCTCACATTTTCTGTGTCTTTTCTCCCTCTCTCTCTGACTCTCCCTTTGCTTCTCCAATGCTTATTCATGGGGAATGATCCCAAACCTGACTGAAAGCCAGCACTGTCAATTTTGTTTCCTGCACAGTTTCCTTCACTCAACTCTGCTCTCTGCTTATTCAAAACGTCCTGAATGACTTGATAGCCATGTTTAATAAAAGCCGAGCAGTTCAGATAAAAAAAAAACGTTTTGTTCACATTAACAGTTCTAGAAGGTTGGGCTATGAGTTGCCCTCGTGGGAGTGTTAAGAGTTGCTGAGAAAGTTCACAATAGCCTCAGCTTTTAAAGTTGGTATGGGTGTATTGGGGGGCAGGGGTGATTGGGCCAATAATGGCTGGCATTCTGAAAATAAAATCTAGTGCTGACTACCTTTGTTTATTTAAATATTGAGCGTATTAAACTGTTCCTGAGAAACAAAATTAATTGTTTTTATACAGAGGGCCAGTTCCAGGGGCACTGGATGCACTCTTCTCTTCAGGGCAGGTGATGTTGAGATATCTTGACGCGACAAGATGCATAACACTACAATTAGGGCGCAGGCTAAAATTCCTGTGATTGATGACCTGTCGGATGATCCCCATTGAAGCAATTTTGTCCCCAAACTGGAAGGACACAGAGATACCAGGGAAATCATTGGCAATAATAGCAGTAAATTGTAGAGGATGAGTGTGGCGCATTCACAATCAAGTTTTACTACACTGTGGCCAAGCTGGTGACTAGGCTGTCTCCTTATCATAAGAACCAAGGTCAATGGTTAGCTTCCAATCCTCTGCTCTCGTCTTTCAACAGGCTTGGGTAGTCTTAACATCAACAGCAACAAATTACATTTGTATCGCACCTTTCACATCGGGATGATATCCCAAGGAGCTGGACAGTCAGGGATTTGGACCCAAGATGGGGATTGGGATTAGGAGGGGTGGAGGGCAGGAAGGTTAGAGTTAGGAGGTGGCCAAAGGAGTGGTCGAAGAAGAGTCTTCAGACATGCCTTGAACGAGTTAAGGGAGGGAGCGAGGTGAAGGACTGTAGGATGGACTTCCAAAGGGTGGGAGCAGGGAAGCTGAAGGCCTGACCACTGACGGTGGGGTGGGTTGGGCGGGATTGTGGAGAAGGCTGGAGTCTGCGGAGCGGAGGGATCAGTGCAGTGTTTGAATTGGTTTTGGGGGTGGCGATGGAAATGTAATAGGGGAAGTGCTTTCTGTTGTACATAGAGGATTCTAAATAAATAATAATTGTTGCACTTGATGTAGGGCCTTATCACATCATCCAAAACATCTCAAAGTACTTCACAGGAGTGGCTGACAAGTGATTGAACAGAAAGATCTTACACACACAGCCAGGATGTGAATGATTAGTTCATCTGAAGGATTGTCAGCCACGACACTAGGAGAAACTCTCTTCTGTTTTCCAATAGCGCTGCGGGATCCTTGAGGTCCACCTGAACAGGGCACAGATGGGACATCAGTCTAAAATTGCACCCAAAGGATAATAATAATAATCCTTGCATTTGATATAGCGTTTTTCACATCTTATCGACGTCTCAAAGCGCTTCTCAGAATAGACTAAAGTGAATTGTCCGTATATTTGTGGGCGAACGCGGCAGCCAATTGCACAC